CACAAAAATGTTTCACGAAATAAAAAAAAATTGGATATAATTTTGTGGAAAAGAAGATTGAACTCATTCTATTTGTGCAATTGTTGTTAAACACAAGTGAAAACAAAGAAGATACAAGCCAATTAGAAAGTATGAAAAATATAAAGACTTTTAATCTTTGTAGTTAGATTTGGTCCCACTAAAAATCAAGTAAAGTTATGCATTTGTGCATAATCCAGGGCTATAAACCTTATCCTAAACCTATTGGGTAGGTGATTATGGATGGTGGAGAGTTTGGCAGTTTTGGTATGCCAATTTTCTTTCCTAATAAAAAGATAACTCTGGGTTGGGCAAGGTTACAAGTTACAACAAGATAATTGAATATTACAGCTTCTAATTTTAAGAAAATTAAAAAAATACCACTAACCGTAGATTATGGTAAAATCTAAAAACAATAAAGTAATTAGTGATTTTCCTTTTACCATTCATTAGTTTCAAAGATTAGATAGAAAAAACAAAGCCATTCAAATGGTAAAAAAAAAAAAGGCATAATTGAAAGGAATGGTTTACATACTTGGTGACTAGGGAATCAAACCCTGAAATGTTGGCCGCCTCTTTGAGTGCAGCAGTCCAGGTTTTGAGTTTGGCCTCCATCTCTTTACTGGGAAGCTTCTTCTCATATTCAGCAAATGCATCTCCGTAGCTTCCTTTCCGGTTCCTAACATGGGAAGGTGTCACCCCACCGTAAAACACCGGCACCATCTTCCGTTGGTATTTTCGTGAGCACTCCAAAATCTTGACAAGCTCGTCGAGGCACCAGTCCGAATTCGCGTAATTCGGGGAGAAGATCACGACGTACGACGAGGATTTCTCGATCGCATCGATGAGCGTGGGCGAGATTTTGTCTCCTCGTTTGAGATTCACGTCGTCCTTGAAGGTGAGGACGTGTCTTTCGTCGTTCATGTGAGCGAAGAGGTGGCTTAGGAAAGTTTGCCTGACGTCGGTTCCTCTGAAACTGATGAATGCATCGTACTTGCAAGAAGGGTTTGTGTTTTCATTATCTGGAGGAGGAGGAGCAGGAAGAGCCAGAGGAGGAGCTGCAGGAGAAGGATCAGAAGGAGCAGGAGCTCCTACAATCTCTTTGTTGCTAATGGGATGATGAACGATTTCAGCACGAGGTGGTGGTGGAGGATCCTGATCAGCAGGACGAACTACAATACGACCACGAGAAGGAGGCTTAGGAGGTACACTACAAATCGTCCAATTAGGACCTGGAAGAAGGCGACCCCGAGGTGGAGGAGGTCGTGGTTCAAATGTTCTCGTCAAAGGATTAACGAGTAGACGACCACGAGGAGGAGGAGGAGGAGGTTGTGGTGGTGAATTCTGACTCATGGGATATGAAGGAGAAAGACTGTGAACAAGAGGAGGATTGGTGAGATGGATGGTTGAAGAAGCCAAAGGACAAGAAGTATGGAGTGCAAGAAGAAGGTTTTTTTTTTAGAGAAATGTAGTTGCTTGAGGATGTCTATCCCCTAATTATATAGGTGCCCACAAGTAATGGAACATGATCCTTTAATTTTATGACAAGTATGAAATAAAGAACATTACCTTTGCTTTTAACTCTTGTTTCAATGGAGAACATCAATAGAGAAAGTACATGGTGGAATAGTTTTTGTTACCCAACTCTTTTGATGGGTAATTCTTTTCCAACTTCGAACGCCAAGAATTACTTGCAATTGCCTATGGAAACAAGCAAGCATATAGTACTTACCTTACCCAAACATTCTTCTCTATCTAATCAAACAAATTAATTAACGTAACGTATGCACTGAAATCGATCGAAAGATGAAAGTGTCAGACTTTCAATATTCGCGTCATAAATGGGAGGGAGACTGCAACAAAAGCAAAAGTCTATTAATCGAAATAAAGTAATTTTTCTTGGATTTTGCTAGCTACAGATCATGGATTCGGTCTGAGACAACAAATCATGGATTTTGAGAACCGATCTGGACGAATTCTTGAATTTTAAAGGCTACAAATAATGTATTCGCCCAGGTTATTCTGCACCGACGATAAAGTTTATTAATAGTTGATTTGGGAAAATTTTTTCGTAGGCCATTTTTGTTATTTTTTGATTGATTTTTCGAAGGTCATTATCTTTAGATTTTGAAGGCTACAAAATACGAATTTGGCATGAGACTATTTTTTACCGATGATTAAATCAATTAAGTAACACTTTGCGTGGTTTTTTTTTTTAGTCATTTTTGGCAGATTCCAAATGCATAACATAACAGATTCAGGCGATTTTTTCTAAATACCATTTTCTTGGATTTTGAAGGTTGCAGATCACGAATTCGACTCGAGATTATTCTTCACCGATGATTAAGTGTATTGGAGAGGAATTTTGTCGGGCCATTTTTGGCCGGTTCGAATTTTGGACAATTTTTTCGATAGTCATTTTCCTTGGATTTTGAAGGCTACAGAATACAAAATCAGCCTCACGCTATTCTTCACCAATGATAAATTCTACTAATCGCCGCTTTGGGAGGATTTTTTCAGACACCATTTCGTAATTTTTTGGCTATTTTTAGAAAGGCCATTTTCTTTAGATTTTGAAGACTACATATTACAGATTTGTCATGCACCTATTTCCTTTGATGATTAGTTATTTAAGCGCCAATTGGGGCAGATTTCTTTTGGCCATTTTTTGTAGATTCCAAAGGTGTCTCTCATCACAGATTTCGAGTGATTTTTTCAAAATGTAATTTTCCTTGAATTTTGAAAGTTACAGATCACCGATTCTCTCTAAGGCTATTCTTCACCGATGATTAAGTCAATTAAGCACCGATTTGAATGACTTTTTTCTGAGGTCATTTTTGGCAGATTCCATCACAGATTTCAGGAGATTGTTTCGAAAGATCATTTTCTTTGAATTTTGAAGACTACATGTAACGGATTCGGCCAGAGTCCATTCCCCACTAATGATAAATTCAGTTAATAGCCAATTTGGGCGGGTTTTTTGGGGTGGGCATTTTTGTTATTTTTTGGAAAATTTTACAAAATTTCATTTCCTTGAATTTTGAAGGCTTTAAATCATGGATTCAGACTGAGGCTATTCTTCACTAATTATTAAATCTATTAAGCAACTATTTGGGCGGATTTTTTTCAAGGGCCATCTTTGCTAGATTCTAAAGGCTACCAACATAGATTTCATGTTATTTTGCTTTGATTTTAAAGGCGACCTGGTAGTAGGGGTGTGCAACGGTTCGGTTCGGTCCGAACCGGACCAAACTCATGAGAACAGCGGTCCATTAGTAAAAGACATGTTAGGACAAAGGACGGGACCATTCTTGTATTTGTTCCATTTGGTATAGTAATTAACATCATCGATGGTGTTTATCTTATTAGTTTAGCAATTAATATCATCCGATACAGTTTTTTTTACTGGCTGGAAACATGCATCACCATGATGATGGTTATTGTTGTTGATCCTCAGCCGCACGATCGGCTGGCTCGCCACGTGCACGAAGCAAGTGTTGATAGGAATGTGACGGTATCAAGTCACTAATTTCGACCTTTGTCTTGTGTATACGTTTTGAATATATTCACGATTTCAGTAACCATTGGTTACTGACCTATGAGTAACTAAATATGGACCTTTAAATCTAAGTAGGTCCAGAAAATTCAGATCTAAGCGTTGTCAATTAAAGACATTTTATTTTCCCTAGTTTTCATAATCGGCTCTTATCTTCTTCGTTCTAACTCGGATTTCAATTATTTTTTTCACACATGAAACGAGTTCGTTGTGCTCTACAAAATGAGATCAACTTCTTCGTTTTTAAGTCGTTTTTGAAAACGTTTGCTCAGAAGGAACGAGTTCATCATGATCTATTGGATCTACAAATTTCTAGATGAAAAAAGTACTGGACATAAAATTAGCATACTTTACCACTATGGTATGTGGGTGGTAACTTGTGGTAAACAATGATGAAAGTCATAAATGACAGTTAGTATACTCCTACTATCATGTATTCAACCTTCTTACCATATTGGTATGTTCATACCATCATGGTACGCTTTCTTACCATATGGTACTAAATATGAGCATACCATATGGTAATGACGGGTAAAAAATTATTCAAATTTTTTTGTACTAAAAATATATCAAAGTGAATATCATTTTAAAGAGCACATTTAATCTGATTTATTTGTGCAAAAAAATTAAATTTCGACCTAGAACGAGAGAGAAATCGTTCATTAAAGATTAAAGGGGAAAATATTAAATACTTTTCAGGAGAAAGGGCATGGTGATGTCATGCATATGTGGACAGATTACTGATGATTACTCACCATTTGGGTTACTGACCTAATCCGCTTCCTTTGTTACCGATGTGACCAAAAGGAAAGCTTGAGAATGGTGACTATAACTACATATGGTAAGTGTTAATGTTCTCTATCAGAGGGTTTTTACTTGATACGTTTGCTTTTTGTAGTAGGTAGCTTTTACTTAAGTTGAGAAAATGTGACTGCACGTACAAATTGCTCTTTATAAGTGTTAATTGTCCCACATCGGTAATACAATAGAAATTATTCTTGTATATTAGTGTTCACCTAGCTCAATTAGTACGGGGCCTTTTGAGAAGTATCCCAAAAATAAATATGAACGAGTTTGATCCAAACGAACAGTATCATACTAATGAACCTATTAAGCATATATTTTTTTTTCCGTTGAATAGTACAATATTTGTTATAATTGTTGAAATTTGAGATATTTGGGACCATTTTCGGTGAACTTGAGATTATCGAAAGATTTAGGAGATATGGAATAATTCAAGGAATTGTTAGACAAGTAGAATTATAAGTACATGAGATTGAATTAGCAATTCATCATAACAAAATCAAATAATATAAGCTATCTCCATTTATTTTACTACTCTCTGTTGAGTTATCTCCTGCCTGTTCCTCTCCTTTTATCATCCCAAAACCACCCTCTCCTTCTAAACAGTGAATATCTCTGTGGATTTGCCCAAAATATTTTATTACATCTTTTTTTGGACTCGACATTCTCATCAAGATTTGCTTTACCATCGTTTAAAGAGAATGGAAAGACTTTGATATTATGTTAATGAATATTTGACCTCGATTGAAGACTCTAATATTATTTCATAAACTGTTTCGTTCTAATAATTCGAATTGATTGAAAAAGGTTAATTAATTGTAAATCTTATACCACTCTCTTACAAGACATAACATTATCGTTAAAAAAAGTTATTGTTGATAATGTTAAACGATTAAAATTTAACAAGGCTGGAAGCATCTGCAGGAATTAGAATCGCAAAGCCCGTGAGCATCTTTTCCAAACTGTTGCTGACACTCGGAGGTACATTCATCTCGAAGGCATTGAGGGGAAGTCTTGATAATTCCTTTATCACAATACCTTTGTGCCGTCACCTCTTCATTTCCTACAAAATATTTTCAATATTAATATTCGTTAGAATATATTTTTAATTAATATACGTTCATCCAATCTTATAAATTTCATCCATCAATTCGTTTATGGGATCTTATTTATCTTATCAATCGTGTCAACAACGACTATCTGCTACAAAAGGAGTAGAGAGAAAATGAGGATGAAATATTTTACCAGCAATGAAAAAGGCCACTAAGAAGAGAAGGAAAATAGTGGAGCACTTCATTCTTGATCTATTTCACTTCTTTTTTCGAAGTTCAATTTTGGGTGAAAAAGTGAGAAAGCAAAGAGTTTTCAATTTATGTAGTGAATTCAATGAGTACTTATTCTCTTTGTCCTTCACAAAGCGAATGACTTCAGTCTCCCTTTTATAGGGATTAGGGAGTCTACATGATGATTAATTCTTCATTGGAATTTTCCGGTTATCATTCTTGTTAAGGAATTTTTTTCATGGAGAATATGAACTATAAAGTATATAATTAATTTGCTTGGATTTAATAACCTTAATAAACCTTTTGGTACAGAAAAATATCCTTAATTAGTCACATTGATTGTCATTTTCCATTTCTCTTTCTTTTTCATAGTTATCCCCAAAGAGAAGCATTATAGATACAACAATATACAAGACCTTGCAGGCAAGGCCTCAAATTAGAAAGAAGGAAAACATGATGGATGACAAGTGTCAGAACCATCGTGCTTCAAGGTTTTGATTTGCCACGCCAATACGATAATCAAAGCACCTAGATTTCTTGCAAAATAGCTTCTCACATCACGTGCGACGAGTCCCTCGTGTTGCTCAAATAGGTTGTGCATAACCACAAAAAACAATATATTCGTGTAAGAATGCATCAAACAACAAAAATCGTGATTTTACATAAAATCGCAAATTGAAGTAAAATCAGAAATGTAGATTAGAATCGTAAGATTTTAAAGTTCATATTAGAACGAATACTTAAAAATTTGAAGTCGGCTCGAATTCGTCCAAAACTTTAATTGTCAAGCAGCTTGACTCACGAACCGAAATTGGCAGTTGAAGCCAGCTCGAGTTTAGCTTGATAATGGTTCATTACCAAGCTCGAAAAGTGTTATGAATCATGATAATGCTCAAAATCTTGTGAAAATTAGTTGAAAAGCAGGTATGCACGAGCTAATTCGCTAAAGTTAGCTCATCTTGAGGATTAAATCCATGGGTTTAAACAAGGAAATAGAATTGTAACTTAGTATTATACAAAAAATAAGCTACTCCACCATTAGCTAATCGCTGCTTCAATTAACATAACACTAATGACAGAAAAGTATGTTTGCTACATTGAAATAATAGATGGATAAGTTTGCCCAAGATAATAATAAAAATATTTATTAACTTACATTAGTGGGAGGACATAAAATACCTTTAACCATTAGATTTATCCTATGAGGATCGTGTTCCTAATCAATGACCCACATAATTATTCTTTTTATTTTATGATATCATATAAGTTTCTCTATTTTTTTAATCTCAATAATACTCATATACTATATTTTTCGTTAACAAACAGAAACTTCTTTGTTTTTATTCTTTGTTCTTAACATTTGGCCTTTTGCCATTTTGCTTGGAGTTTCGTCTTGAGGCTTTCGCCTCTACTTTCGTTGGCATTTTAAACGGGTTATCTTTCCGTATTAGAGAACTTGGTCTCAACTCTCAACAAGTGTGTGAAACCAACATTGCGGAAAAATATCAAGTTATCGGCCAAACCAATGCAGCTAACACCCTTTATGCATAACGATAACAACAAAAACCAAAGCTATCAATTTATTTTTATCGTATCCAATTATTTTCTCTTTTGTTTTAATTGATACCATAGTGATACAAAAATTTTCTCTGTGCAAACAGTGTTCAACAACGGAAACTTCTTTGTATTCTTAACATTTAGCCTTCTTTCCTATCTGCTTGGCTTCTCTTCCGATTGCCGTTTTCTCGTTGTTTTGTCATAGCTTCTAGCTGATCATCGGCTCCCCTACCAGTTATATAAATGTGGGCAGGGAATGGTTGCCCCAAAACCACATTGGTGCCTCAAAAATTTCAACAAAAATAGAAGTATAACAATGGATTCGGAATCTAGCTATCCCAAGCTGCCTTCCTTGGATTTCTCTAAGCCTGCAGGAGTAATGAAACCAGGCAGTCCCCAGTGGGAAACCCTAAAATCGCAAGTTCGCGAGGCAGTGGAAGAGTACGGATGCTTCGAGGCGTCGTTCGACAGGGTTTCTGACGACGTTCGCAGGGCAGTTTTCGAGTCGCTGGAAGAGCTTTTCGAGCTGCCTTTGGAGACGAAGCTGCGGAATGCTTCGAACAAACCGTGCCGAGGTTATGTGGGACAACACCCTCTGATTCCGCTGTATGAAAGCTTGGGCATAGATGATGCTCAAGTTCCTGAAAGCGTTGAATCCTTCACCAACACTCTGTGGCCTCAAGGAAACTCAAGTTTCAGGTATTTTTACAACATGGTCTCTCTCTCAGGAAAACCGCTTTTCGCCCTCAGATAATTCATGGGAAAACTGTGCCAAACTGTGCAAAAGATGCATAAACTTGTTTAGTTGATAATTTTGAGACGTAAACAAAAGAAAAATGGTATAAATGGTGTGGCATGGTAGTTAAGAAAAATTTGAGGGTGAAAATATATTATGATAATATAGAGGATAAAGTTTCGTGGATGAATTATGCTAAAATGAAGATTGAAACAACTTTTGGAAAACAATAAGAAAATACTTCAAATGATTTCCCTTATTTTAACTAATTTCTATTGTTGTCAAGTTCTGTTATCACATCATCAACAAATGAAAATGGAACTAAACATGTTTTTTTCATTCTCTGTGCTCACCTACGAAACAGAGAAAAGAAATTGGAAATGGTACTAATTAAACAAGGTCTAAAACTCATACGGTCGGCGCTTAATTATCTTTTTTGGCAGCAAAACAATGCAGTCTTACTTGGAGCAACTTTCAGAACTGGACAAAATCGTGAGGAAAATGATTGTTGAAAGCTTTGGACTTGAGAGTTATATGGACGAACACATGAGCTCCACAAAATACCTACTGCGGTTCATGAAATACGATAGCCCTAACACCCCGGATGCTAAGCTTGGCCTCAGTCCGCACACAGACAATAATACGGTGACCATATTGCATCAGAATCAAGTTGAGGGACTGGAAGTGCAAACCAAAGATGGCAGATGGATCAACATCCAACCTTCTCCAACCTCTTTCATCGTTATCATTGGTGAAGCTCTTAGAGTAAGTTATAATCAACACAAGAGGGGGAAAAAAGTTTATCTTTTTTTTTTTTTATTAAGAAAAAGTCTTGCAATGAGTTTGTTTTCAAACATAATGATGAATGTGTGTGTGTTTTTTTCCTTCCTTCGTAGGCTTGGTTAAATGGTCGACTTCATTCACCGCGACATCGGGTTATGATGTCTGGAAATGAAACGAGATATTCGTTGGGTTTATTCACAACCCCAAAATCTGGTTGCGTGATACAGACCGCAGGCGCAATGGTCGACGAGAAACACCCATTGTTGTTTAAGCCCTACGACCATGAAAAATTTATGGCCTTCTATTACACTGAAGCTGGCCAAAGAGCAGCTTCTGCCTTGCAAGCATATTGTGGAATCTAATATATATTATGATCATATGGGTGGGTGTGTTGTGTTCAATGTTTCCATTGTTATTTTTATCATTCCTATGTTTCTTTGTTTGAGTTTTGAATAAGAGTTATAAATAATGCCCATTGATGACAATGTTGTGCTCTCAAGGTCTGTTCTTCTCATCTTGGTAATCCACCTTTATCATCTCACGAGTTTTTCTTGTCCGAAGGGCGACATGTCTCGTTTTAATTTCTTTTCTTCTATTACGTGTTATTTTTCTGTTTGTTGAATGTATTGCAGAGTAAACTTAAAAGTCGAATCTTATGGCGGTAACAGATTGCCAATTCAATGATAAAAAAATATAACAAAAATATAACCTATATCACTCTTATAATAATAATAATAATAATAATAATAATAATAATAATAATAACTAGATAATTGGCCCGCGCGTTGCGGTGGTGATCAGTTAATACTTTCTTTCGGTGATAAAATTTTATTCACTTATTTAATAATTTAGTGAAATAAAAATATTCACAAAATCTTTTGCGCGAGACACTTTTATAAGTTTTATTTAAAGCTATAATTATTGGAAAGGCTTAATTATTTAGGTAATTATAACTTAATTATCAACACCTTGCATAATTAATGCCCTCGATTCCAAATATTGATATGGTCTTTTATAATGCTTCTAAATTTATTAATTTGAACTATTAATTGGAAGAACAATGAATATAAGTAAATGTAAAGTCTTTTGATATCTAACATTGTATGGGTATTAACTGGACTAATTTTTACACTGTTTTTGAATCGTATCGTATCGATGCTTTGAACAGAGAAAACTTCATATCAAAGCCTAAATCAGTAGATGATTTTATTGGTACGACATTAATTAAGTCATGATATTAGTACAACATATCCTATCACTCACTTTTCCGGTACAACCTCCTATATTGTTTCACGGTTTTAATATTTTACATTCATGAATTGTTGTACATACTATTATTTCTTATCAATGCCTATAAATACAAAATTTAAATAACCCAAGAAAATAACTAAAATTAAATGGATCTATTAGAATGTATAAAGTATATATGGTGTTGGACTCAACCAATCGAATGAGAACCTCAAATTAAGAGTGGAGAAAAACTTACCAAGGAAAAGGAAAGGTTAGAAAAGTTTACTATAATGATATTGATGAGATGAAGTCATATACGCGTCAGCAAGTGGCATTGTTTCAATTTGAAGTAAACACCTGTCACTCATGCAAATATGGATAATAAAAAGGAAAAATGATAGAAATCAATAATTTGGCTAGCTTATCATCCACAAAGCTCCGATAAAAGCACAAAAAGAAAACCCCCACAAAGCTAGAACCTCAATGGCAGAGATCCTAGTTCCCAATCCATGAAATTGTCGAGCAGGAGACCTTGCGGAGCTTTTGGTTAGCTAGAGAAGTAGCAGAATTGAAATTTGGATTGGGTTCCGATTTCCTTGAAGTCTTGATCAAGGCATGCAATCAAGGTGAGTGGTGGAATGGGTACTAAAGGATTGAAGGAAATTGGATGGCAGAGAACTATTGTAGGGAGGAAAATCACTAAATCGGCTCATCGTCACGGTTTCCTTTGTTAGCTCTCTGGAATTGTGTCATATGATTCAAATCGACGGCAGTCCCGGTTCTTCCCTTGTGTTATTTTCCATGAATAGGCGGAGTTTTTGTCCGCTCTCGGTGGGCTTTGATTAACGATTCAGCACCTCACTGTCACATCCAAGCTATGTTCGATAAGATATCCAGCGTCTCGATTTTGATTTCAGGGTTTGTTTCATTAAT